ACTTAATGTTAAGTGGCACTACTACCCAAAATGATCTATAAATTCAATGTAATCCCTATCAACATACCAATGCCATTTTATGCAGAAATAGACAAAGTGTTCCTCAATTTTATTTCAAATCTGACCAGCCAAAATTACTTTGAAAAAGAACAAAGTTGGAAGACTCACATTTCCTGATCTAAAAGCCTACTACAGAACTACAGCTATCAAAACATTTTGGCACTGGCATAAAGATAAACATATAGAAGAGTAGAAATGAATTGAGAGTCCATAAATAAATCCATACATCTGTTGCCAGTTGATTTTGAACAGGGTTACAAGGGTGTTCAATTGGAGAAAAAACAGTATCTTTAACATATGGTTCTGGGACAAATTTCTTATCCAGAGGCAAAACATTAAAGTTGGACCTGTGCCTCATGCTATATAAAAAAGTTAGCTAAAAATAGGTCAATTAGCAAAGAACTAAGACCATGAAAGCTTAGAAGAAAACAGACTTAAATCTTCATGACCATTAATTTGAGAATGGATTCCTAGATGTGACATTGAAAGAATGAACAACAAAAGAAAAAGTAGACAAATTGGGCTTCATGAAAATTAAAAACTTTTGTATATCAAAGGACATTATCAAGAAAGTGAACAAATAACATATAGAATGGCAAAGGATGATTTCAAATCATATATCTAATAAGGGCTTAGTATTCAGAACATATAAGTAACTTCTGCATATCAACAACAAACAAATAATATAAGGAACAATCCAATTTAAAAATGGGTAAAAACCTTGCATAGATATTTCTCTAAAGAAGATATAGAAATGGACAACAGGTACATGAGAAAACTATCAGCATCTTTTGTCATTAAGTATATACAATTCAAGACCACAATGAGATGCTACTTCACACACACTAGTATGGCTATCATGGAAAAAACAAAAAATAACAAACATTGGCAAGGATATGGATAAATCAGAAATCTTGTACATTGCTGATGGAAATGTAAAGTTTCCTTTTGGAGTGATGCAAATTTTTCATAAATGGATGGAATGATTACACTAAACTAAATGTACAAAATACTATAAAATAGTTCACTTTAAAAATGTATTTTTTATATTATATGAATTTCATCTCAAAAAAGAAACAAAAATAGAAGTAATCAGGAGAAAATCTCTATAAGCTCCATTCACTATATCAACCCACTTACAGTCTATATTCACCTCTGTTACAGCAAAGATAAATTGTCCTTGCTGTTGTCAAAGGCCAGGCTCTTTCCTTGTGCACTAAGTGCCTTCTTATTTATTCAAGGTCAATCCTTCTGTTAATATCACCTTACTGTCCTGGATCATAATTTTTCCCTTTTTAAGGGGTTATTTCCATTAGAATAAAAGAGGTTAATATTTCTCCCACTCAAAGGTTTTATCAAAAGTTATACAATTAAACAAATAAACAAAAACTTTTTGAGGGGGGTGGTCACGCTGGAAGCTCAGATTTGTGGGGGGAGAGGGGTCAAGGGCATTATTTGAAACCTTACAATTTGTACCCCCATAATACGCTGAAACAAAAAAAAAGAAAATATTTGCTTTACAGTATAAAGAAATGTATTATGCCTTAAACCTTGTAATATTTACATAGATAAGACAGTGAAAGAAAAATTACAATGTTGGTCACCGTGTATTTTTTTCCAAGAGACTGTAAGTGTACTATTTTTTCTTCTTTCCTCTTTATCACTCATCATTTCTTATAATAAAAGTGTATTACCTTAGTAACAATAAAAATAAATGATATCTTCTGTATTTATTTACTGAGTGATAAACAGGTATTTTATACATATCAAATGGGTTACTTAAAATAATAATGCAAAATAAAAGAAATTATTGCTATCACTTTAGTCATTCATTTCTTCTTTGTTATATTTTTAACTATCCAGATGCAAAGTATTAGGGCATACTTTAGTTTCACAAGATTAGAAAATATAAATGTCAACATCATGTTGAAATGACTATATTAATGAAAAGCATTGATCCATCATTAAAATGTACTTATAATATTGTGTAACTTGAAAGGGTAATGCATTAAATTAAATTTTAAAAAGCACCATTGCGAATTTTCAATGTTTCAGTATATCCTGTATTAAGAGTTTTGTGCTAAAAGTCTCAACAATAATATGGGAAATAAATGATGACATCATACTGCCAGGTGAATAAGAGATAAATAAAATACTTCTTTCTTTGGAACATAAGAATATTCTAGTCAACCTAGATTTTCTTACTTCAAATGTCTAAATGTTTTTACATTTTCACTTATTCTTGTATATTTGCAGCAAATATTTCCTGAACTCCTGTCTTTCTAGGTACTATACTAGGTACCATAGAGAAAAAATTTTGATAAAATGCTATTTTTGCTTCAAAGAGCTTTCAGGGAAGAAGAAAATGAGTAAACAAATACAGTGTAGTAGGCATTATGATAGAAGTGTTGCAAATTTCTGCTGTGTTTATAGAAGAGGTCCCTAAGCCAGTTAGTTAGGTTCAGGAGTTGCTTCTGACTGGAAACTGAAATCTTTTCCTTATTATGTACAGTGCACTCAAGAGCAATAAGTATTTATTGACTGAGTTGTGGTAACTTCATGTTATCATCCACAGCATCAATATCTATTTTACTCGTGATAGATGAAGGTGCAAGAAATTAGGCTGAATTTGTAGTACCCTCTAGACATTCCCTGAAAGTTTGTTTCCTATAACATTCTACAATCAGATATGTATCTTTTATTTGAGATTTTATTTTTAATTTTTTTATTTCAGCATATTATGAGGTATAAATATTTAGGTTATATATATTGCCTTTGCCTTACCCAAGTCAGAGCTTAAAGTGTGTCCATCCCCTAGATAGTGAGCACCACACCCATTAGGTCTGTATATACCGATCCCCTTCTCCCCTCCATCTACCTGACACTCAATGAATGTTATTACTCTATGTGCACTTAAGTGTTGATCAATTAATACCAATTTGATGGTGAGTATATGTGGTGCTTGTTTTTCCATTTCTGTGATACTTCACTTAGTAGCAAGGGTTCCAGGTCTATCTAGGATAATATAAGAGGTGCTAGATCACTATCGTTTTTTTGTGGCTGAGTAGAACTCTATGGTATACATATACCACATTTTATTAATCCACTCATGGATTGATGGACACTTGGGTTGTTTCCACAACTTTGCAATTGTGAATTGTGCTGCTATAAACATTTGAGTGCAGATGTCTTTTTTATAGAATATCTTTTGTTCTTTTGGGCAGATACCTAGTATGGGATAGCTGAATCAAATGATAGTTCTACCTGTAGCTCTTTGAGGTATTTACATATTACTTTCCAAAAGAGGTTGTACTGGTTTGCAGTCCCACCAGCAGTGTATGAGTGTTCCTATCTCTCTGCATCCACGCCAACACTTATTGTTTTTGGAATTTTTGATAAATAGCCTTTATTAGAGATTTTTAATGCTACATGAAATGTAAAGAAATCCAGGTAACTTAAAATTGTAGTTAGTTGTGTAAAACAGCAATTAATGTATTCCAACTTTAGGAAAAAAATCCACCTCTCTAATACATCTAGAATTGCTTTTTTTATTTTCAAAAGGTAAGTTGTTTTTCAAAAGATGTCAGTGTTGAAAATTCTAATTATTTACTAAAATATTACAAAATATATTAAAATATCTTTAAAAGGGTCATATAGCTTACATTATAGTGGGAATTCTAAATTTTATTTTGCCTAATCAAGTATTTACAAGACAAAGAAAAACATATCACCCACTCAGGGAGTTCAACAGCATATATTGATCTAGAAATATTATAGAATCATCACGATTCTCTTTTGAAGGTTGTTTAAATACCAATTTTTATAGAGCTGTCAGTGTATGCATTACTTCGTGATATATGTGATTATTTGTGGTTTTTCATTTGGGTGTATGCCCTGAGTGCTGACAGATAAAGACAGTATTTCAAAAGATTTAGATTACTTCCTCTCAGATATAAGCTCTATGTCCTAAAATATACAGAGATGGAGGGGTAGCTGGCTCAGGAAAACAAATTGGAACCTGTGCCATTGATGTGAGCCCAGACTTGCCTGAAGATTGTACCAAATTGAGTATCTGTAAAAGATTTTCTAATATGCAATGTGAAGGCAAACCGTGAATTAGAAATGGTTATCATCGATTTGCTGTTGATATATGCTTTCTCCCTTGGAACTAGGGAGACCATGATATTAAATGATAAAAAAAAGTGGTCCAAGAAACAAATTGAAAGAGTAGCTTTGTAATATCTATTATTAGAACTTTTGGAAATTATTAATAAAGAAAAAAGATACTGTTTCATTTGAAAATGTATTTCATAATAAGCTTTACTTTCTTCAAAGATGTATAATATCTAATTTAATACATGCCCTAACTACCTGCCTATAAGCAATCACCTACTTATTCATATTTATCTTTATTCTACATAGAGTACTCTGGGCTGGGCTGGAAGACCAGAAAAAAAAAAGTGGATACACATTATACCCTTAGAAGGTTTACAATCTAAGAAGGAATATACAATTATGCAAAGTACCATCACCCAAGATGAAAATGAGGAGAGCTCACAATGAGTTTTAGATGAATTTCTATGTGTGAGACTTGAAGGCTTTCATAGCTGCTATATAACTTTGAAGTTAAAGTTTACCTCTTTAATTTATCCTCCTTTGCAGTATACTGATCTACATCCATGTTTAATTACAGAATTTTAGTAAATTGTACCCCATACCTTTCTAGGCTTATGCTATAATTTTAATGTATTCCCCATAAAGCATGTGTTGGAAACTTAATCCCCAACGCAACAGTGTCGGGAGGTAGGACCTAATGGAATGTGCTTAGGTCATGAAGTTGAAGACTTTATGAATGAATTGATGCCAGTTATAAAAGAGTCTGAAGTTTCAAGTTCAATCTCTTACTTTCTCTCTCCCTTTCTTTGGTCTCTCACCATCAGGTGACACAGCACGAAAATCCCTTGCAAGATGCCATCCCCTCCATATTGGACTTCTTAGCCCATAACTGTGCACCAATAAATTTTTTGTTCATTATATATTACCAAATCTCATATATTCTGTTATAGTGGCATAAAATGGACAAAAACAGAGAATTGGTACCAAGAGGTTGGGCTGTTTCTATAAGACCTGAAAATGTGTACGTGGCTTTGGAGCTGGGTAATGAGTAGCAGCTGGAGGAATTTGAAGGAACTGGCTAGAAAATGTCTTGCTTATGATAAGCAGAACACTAAGGGTGATTCTGGTGAGGGCTTAGAAAAAGAGAGCAGCAGGGAAAGTCTAAAACTACTTAGAAATTACTTAAGGGGACATGATCAGAATGTTTGTATAAATATGGACAGTGAAGACCATTCTGATGAGGTCTCAGATGGAAAAGAGGACTATATTTGTGAAAATTGTAGTAAAGACCATCCTTGTTTCAAAGTGGCAAAGAACTTGGCTGAATTGTGTTCATGCTCTAGAGCTTTATGAAAGGTAGAATTTAAAATGTCTGAAGAAGACATATCTAAGTGGCAAAGCATTCAGGGTACTGCATGGCTTCAATCAGCCACATTTAGTAAAATGCAAATGGAGAGAAATGATTTAAAGATGAAATTTATAACTAAAATGGAAGCAGAGTAAAAAAGTTTGAAAACTCTCAGGCTGGCCATGTAAAAAATAAAGCACTTTTGGGAAAGAATTCTATGAATGTGGCCAAATGACCAAAGAGAGTAATATAGATAGAAGGAAGCCATGTTCTGTTCATCAAGACAATGGGAGAATGACCTCAAAGGCATTTCAGAGATCTTCAGAGCAACCTAGGACATTAAGGGCAAATTTTCCAGAGAGATGCCCATGGGACCTTGACTATTTTCTGCCTCAAGTTTCTGCTGTGAGCATTTCAGCATAGTGCTCCTTACCCAGCCCAGCCATGGCTCAAGCCAACCCAGGTGTGGCTTAAGCCACCACATAGGAAGATATAAGCAGTACATCTTAATGACATCTTTGTGGTTATAATTCTGCAGGCTCACAGAATGCAAGAGCTGTGCAGGCATGGATTCCTCTGCCTAGATTTCAAAGGGTGGCTCAGAAAGCCTTGGGCCCCAGACAGAGACTTGTTACAGGGACAGAGGCACCTCAGAGAGTCCCCACTAGGCTAATATCTAGTGGAGATATGGGAGTGAGGCCACTACTGAGAACTCAGAACTATAGAGCTACCAGCGTGCAACTCTAGCTTGAGAGACCTTGAGAGATTCCAACTTGTGAGAGCTGCTACATGGGCTGAGCCTGGAAAAGTGATACTTGTGGAACTGCCTGAGGCCTTGGGGAACCATCCCTTAGCCCAGTGTGCCTACAAGGGCAGACACAGAGTCAATAAAAATTGTTCTGGAGCTTTAAGATTTAATGTTGTTTTCCCTGTTGGGTTTTGAAGTTATCTGGGACCTGTTACTACTTTATTCACTCTTGTTGCTCCCTTTTGGAATGGAAATGTCTATTCTATGCCTGCCCCACCACTGCTATTTTGAAAGTATATACTTTGTTTAATTTCTCAGATTCATAACATGAGGGAGATTTGCCTCAGGATGATTTGTGCCTTGAGTCTTATTCAAATCTGATTTAAGATGAGACTCTGGATTTTGGACTTTTGAAATCATGCTGGAACAAGTTAAGACTTTGAGATCATTGAGATGAAATTAATATATTTTGCATGAGAGCAGTAGATGAATTGTGAGGGGCAGAGATAAAATGCTATGGTTTGACTGCATCCCTCAAAAACCATGTGTTGAAAATTAATCATAGATGCAACAATCGTGAATCTATCAATGTTGATTATAAAAGGGCCTGAGGCTGCAAGTTTCATCTCTTGCTCCTTTTTGCCCTTTCTTAGCCTTTTCAACATGGAATGATGCAGTAAGTAGTCTCTTGTAAGAAGCCAGACTCTTGATCTTGAACTTTCCAGCCTCCAAAACTGTGAGCCAATAAATATCTGTTCATTATAAATTACCTGGTCTCATATATTCTGTTACAGCAGCACAAAATGTACTAAGAAAACTTATAAATTTACATATAATTAAAATTGCATATTGTTAACTCTTGGCACTCAGATGTCGAGTGTGGATAATGTTGAGTGGATGACGAGAAAAAAGCAAGCGAGTGCAGAGGGTTAAGTGCTAGGAACATTCTCACATACAAAATGATTTCTTATCACTTTACTATCCTTAAAATGTATACATTGTCTCTTTTCAGAAGTTCATTCTCATGATAAATATACCCCTCTCCAAGTTCCATCCACATAATACTTCTGGATCTAATTCTAATAACTTTTATAAAATTCAACATAGATACTGCATTTTCTAGGAGATTTGTTCTCACTTCTCAAGATTGGGTTAATTTCTCACCTGTGCTTACATAACATTCTATATTTTTCTGAAATATCATTAGATAATTATTTTAAAATTTTAAAGAATTCTCTATAGGTTATATACACATGGTTTTCATCTGAGCCACTTAGTGTGCATCAGAAAACCAGCAACATGGCAGGAAGTAAGAGAAAAACCAATAGCAGATGCATCTACTACATGCAGGTGCTGGGCAGTCTGAATTTTCCAGGCAAATTAGGAGGGGCATAATGTTAACACAAACAAAAGAAACATTTTAAATAAACATTTCATTAATGCCTTAAGGCTTTCCCTAATAAGAATTTTCTGAAAAAAGAAGAAGAAAAATAAAGTCAAGATTTTGACTAGAGGGAATTTTAAAATCAGAAAGATGATGAATTATTAATGAGCTGAGCTGATCTTTTTCATTTTCTTTTCTAATCCAAGAAGTCTTCAGGGTAGCTGTTTGAAGGGTATTCTTTTTACTATCTTCTGCTTTAGGCATTCATAAATATACTTAAAAACACTATCTCACATACCACCCAATCAAAGGATCAAGGTCACTTAGGAGACTAAATTAAACTTCTAATACACATTCACTATTGTCATTTCAGCATATTTTTGATGAGGCTTTGAAAGTGCTCACTTTGAATGTCATTCTCACTTGCTCTCTAATGGTTTGTCTGCCTGCTTATTGCACATCAGATTTTAGAGCCTTACAGAGTGAAATAAAGCCATCTTCCTCAAAGTGATTTTCCTTCATACTATATTAATTCTTTGAGATAGTGTATTAAAGATTTATTTTAAATTATGGTGTAATTAGTGAAGCTCTTGGTTTACACAGTCATTCAGAAAAACCCCATCCCAACTGTCCCATTTACTGGAGGGAAAGCTTTGGCAGGGATTACACCAAAGCACACTGTGTTGACAGTGTATGCAAATTAGAATGACATAGTTTGGTTTAAATGACTATAAAAGCAGGAATCAACATCTGTGGAAATGATTTTCAAGACTGCAGTGGAATAGAAATCATTGCAAGTGTTATGTCATTACAAATAGAAGCCTGGCAGCAGTCCACAAATACAAATTTTTCTCTTTCCAGATAAGAGTCCAAATCTTCTCTCATTTGGGATTAGAAACTAATTATAGATTTGTTATTAATTTTTAAATCTGATGAATTCTGGGTTTTAACTGTTTGCCTTCTTTTGAAATCCTCTTGGGAATAGTTAAAAGATCACTGAAATAGGAAAATAGCAACACTTTAGTATATAATGAAAGGCAACATAATTAAATAATCTCCAACCTAGATTAATGGAAGTTTGGTGTAATGTATTTTCTCAATCATGTAATGTTATCTTTTAAAAAATAAGATTCTTTTTAACTGAATCAGTCTACTAAATAAACATAAATAAGCCTTTCCTTTGTAAAGTAAATACAGTTTCAAATTTGAAAAAAAATAAATGGGCTGGTATTTTTTTTTTTAATTTCAGAATATTACGGGGTTACAAATGTTTTGGTTACATAGATTGCTTTTATACAGCTTGAGTCAGTTATAAGTATGCCAACCACACAGATAGTGTACACTGTACCCATTAGGTATGATTTCACCCATCTCCTCTTCCCCTCTCCCAATTGCATGGTTTCCATTGTGTTTTACTTCCATCTGTGCACATGACTACCGATAGGTTAGTTCCAATTTAATAGTGACTAAGTGTGTTGTTTATTTTTCCAATTCTTGTGATACTTCACTTAGGAGGATGGTCTCTAGTTCCATCCAGATTGTTGCAAAACGTATCAATTCATATTTTTTATGGCTGAGTGGTACTCTATGGTGTACATATACCACATTTTATTAATCCACTCATGAATTGATGGGCACTTGGGTTGATTCCACATCTTTACCATTGTGAATTTTGCTGCAATAAACATTCTAGTGCAAGTGTCTTTTTGATAAAATGACTTTTTTCTTTTGGGTAAATACCCAGTAGTAGATTGCTGGATCAAATGGTAATTCTACTTTTGGTTTATTGAGGAATCTCCATACTATTTTCCATAGAGGTTACACTAGTTTGCAATCCCACCAACAGTATGTAAGTGTTCCTTTCTCTCTGTATCTATGCCAACATCTATTATTTTGGGACTTTTTGATAAAAGCCTTTCTCACTGGGATTAGATGATATATCTATGGTTTAATTCACATTTCTCTGATGATTAGTGGTATTGGGCATGTTGTCATAAAGCTTCTGTTCATGTCCTTTGCCTACTTTTTAATGGAATTGTTTGATTTTTTCTTGCTGATTTGGTTGAGTTCTTTTTAGAGTATGGTTAGTAGCCCTTTATCAGATGTATAGCATGCAAATATTTTCTTCCGTTTATGTAGGGTGTCTATTTACTCTATTGATTGTTTTCTTGGCTGTGCATAAACTTTTTAATTTCTATTTACTAATTTCTATTTACTAATTCTAATTACTATTTACATATATTTACTTTTGTTATTGTTGTGATTTCCCTTGGGGTCTTCTTCATAAATTCTTTGCTTAGGCTGAAATCTAGAAGAGATTTTCCAACATTATCTTCTAGAATTCTTATGGTTTCATGTCTTAGATTTAAGGCTGTTAAGTATTAATATACATAATAAAATTAATTACAGCCTCAGTT